CCCCTGCCAGATAACTCATCGGCAAGAATATAGCACGTGTGTGCACCCACCAACGAGCTGGATGGTAAGGAAATTGGTACGGTAGAAGCCATAGTTCTGCCGGCGCCGGATTTACACCCTCCCACTTGTACAAATTGAGCACCGCAAGCCACACCTTGGCCCAGTACGGCGCGCCAATGGCGCCCCCCATGCGCAGCAAGGTCTTCCGCGCCCTCTGCATAACCACATGCTCGCGTTCCATCCCTAGTAGCCGCAACAGCACGTAGTTCAGCACGGTGCCCATCACAGTCGACTTGTCTTCCGAGTGCAATCCCCACCCCCCATCGACCGGGTGTGCTGTGTTCACCACGTACCGCACCAGCTCCCGCCGCTGCTCCTCCGGTATCTCGACGCCACCCACATGCATCGCCACCACGTACCCGATCGTCATGAACATGGGGCCTTTGTACTGGCAGGGGAAGATCCCAGATGCTTCGTCCTGCAGCAAGCCCAGAAACCGCGCCCCATTGTATGCCGCATCCGCCGCAGTAAAGCCCTCGTCCTGACTGCTCACCTCCGGTTGGGGTGTAGGAAAGCTCGGCACTTTCAGCAGCCATTGGACAAACGTCGTTTGCGGCACCTTGCTTGTCTCTTGTTCGTCTAGATACTCCCACCGTTCTGCGCCAAGCTCATCGCAGAAAAGCCTCCAACGGGCTGCATCGGTAGTTGGCAACCCTAATTCATCTGAGTACAGCATTGCTGAGTCCTTCAACAAAACCTTATGGCTGCCTAACGTGTAGACACCATGAAGTTCCATGCTGCGCAACCTCGTATAAAAATTGCATCCATCACACAAAGATCTGGCCACATTGCCAAAGTGGAAACCAGCTGATATCCAGCCATTAACGGGCCATACCGTTCTGATGCGTTTGCAGGGTAAGATGGATCAGTATATCTCCGAAAAGAAGTACTGCTATCTGTATCCTGCCTTGTTGCTGGGGGGTGAGGTGATAAAGCTAATCCTTGGAGAGGAGACCATAGAGTACGACCGCAAGACATGGTACCTGTTAAATGGCGGCAACTTTGTCAATCAATTGTTTGTGCATCACGGGCTGTTGTTATGGACTATGCTAATGGGGCTGGTGCTGGCACTACAATATCATGTACGGACGACGGAGTTTGATCCGCTCCCACTGGACGCGCGGCAGCTGGGGCCTGTGAGACGACATCCTCTGAAGATGCTAGGCGGCATGGCTGTGCAGACGGGCATCAAGGTTATTCTGGTAGTCACGGTGCTGCAGACGCTGTTCTGGTTCATGGACCACCTGTTTGTGTGGACAGGCGGGCGCTGCACGGTGAGCGATACACGGGACTCTGTGGCATGCCGCCGCCTCGGGGGCGAGTGGGTGGGTGGCTTTGACATCAGCGGGCACTTTTGCCTGGTCATGAACCTGAGTCTGGTACTGTGGCTAGAGCTGACGGAGCTGCAACGATACATGCACAGCCAAGAGATCCAGCTGCGCAAGTTTGCGTGGGCGAAGTCTGCGGTGCTGGGTGCACTTCTGGTGTGGCTTGCGCTGCTAGCGATCACGGCGATCTACTACCATACGTTCATGGAGAAACTTCTGGGTACCATCTTCGGGTATAGCACTTCACTTGTTATATATTACATATTGCCCAGGATTAACCGGGGACTACACTACCTTTAAGCACCCTAACTTTGTTGGGAAGATCTGACAATGCGCCCACAAGCACGTGGGCCCACTCGTCGTGCTGCTGTTGGTTCAGCTCACAGCTGCGGACTTCTCTGCCTTCTAGCTGGACGGTAACTGCTAGTGGCAGGATCCCGCCCGAAATGTCGAAGGAGAGCATCGCTGCACATGAGTCGGTGCGGATATTCTCGAAAAGATCTGGATCCAGCCGAGCGATGAACTGAAGTCGGAAATGCATGTCTATGAGCCTTGCGTAGCATTTCTTGGCAAAGAGGTACACTTCATTGTCGCTGGAGATAGCGCCATTTAGTGTTGTGCTCCATATGCGCTCTGCGTCGAGCACCTTGGGAAGCGTATGCTTGAACAATTGCCAGCGGCTGGCGACTTTCGCGTCCCGTCGCAGAAGCACATAGTAAGGGTACTCGAACCGTCGCGTATTTTCATTAAAAACCTCCAGCCGAATGCCCAACATCTCGTTAGCGATAGCCTCACTGGCCTTGTCCCGCTCACCGAGCCTGCCGGGGTCAACCAGCGGAAAAAAGGTGATGCCGCACATGCGGTAGCAGTTCTCCACCTCGATGAAGTTCCGTAGCTCATTTTGCTTCGACTGCTCGGGCCTGGCCGACAATATCTTACCACGCTTCGAGGGAGATCGAAGAATTTCGGTGTCTAAGAACGGCGCTAAGGCAGCGTCGAACATGCGATGGCCAGCATCACTCTGGTTCCTTGATATATCGTGCTCAGCAGGTGCACGTGCCGATTTATGAGGCGTCCTGACCGTGTCTGTCGGTTCCTGGCCTTGGTTTTCCGCACCATAATGCAACAGGTGTCTCCTCAGCTCTGGGTGATCCGCCCAGAAAATCTCGTACTCTTGGTTCTCTAACTCTTCTGCATGATTATTGCTCTCCTGCAAACTGCTGCCCTGTGCCCTAGAACGCTGTATCTGCTCAGTTATGGACTGCAGCTGCCTTTCTATCGATGAGACTAGAACGAATTTAGTATCTCTGCAAATATGCACAGTAAAGGGAAGTTACGTACTTTCTGTGTTCAGGAGTTCAACATCCTGCTTAAGCTCTAGCAATTCAGACATATTCCTCGCGATTGAAGTGTATCTACGTTCTATATGGTTCGTATCTATCGTTATTTGCAGTGCAATTTCGGAACTTTTTCCATTATGCTGAATTTGAGGTTTCCGCAGTATCCATATCCTGACTCGACCAGATGGTCACTTCCACAATCATAGAGGAAGACCTCAGATTTTGCTTGATATAGTTCCGTTTGACTAGTGCTTCTTGAGCGGCTATCTGGGCAACCCTTCCGGCTGGAATTGAGTAGCCAACAATCCAGTTCCCGGGTAGATGATAGGTAGCCTTTGCGACTAGTTCTGTGACCTTAGTGGTTGGCCCTACCTCTTTAACCTGTGCAAGCCAATTGAATTGCGTGCGGATAACATTCCTCTTCCAAGTATAGCAGCGTGTAAGCATATTACCTGTATCGGGGTTTGTGGGGCTTATTACGGGTTTGGAACCATGTTCACCAAGAAGAGGGCCGGGTCTGAGTATAGTAAGATGGGTCAACCCAGGCACATCATAGGTCAAGTCATTTTCTAGACGTTGCTTGGTGCGGAAATATGTGCTAACCATACCTAGAGCTAAGTGGTTGAAGCTCGTCACAATTACCATGTGTTTGACGGTACCCTTCTTCGGGTCTGGCGCGAAAGTCTTGGCCATTTGCATATTAAGAGTGTAGTCTACGAACGCGCGTGGAGCCTGACTTTTCCTAGCCTCCCATGACGTGGATCCGAGCGTGGATATTAATGTTTCGATCTCGGTAATTGCCGGCATATATATCTCGGAGTACGCATTAAAGGTCCTGACGCCGCCTGTGAACATTTTATTGAAAAGGTCGGGCCATCTTCTGGAGTCCGGTTGGACAACTTGGACCACGTTAAGGGTTGCATTCCTTATTTCACCCGTCGTCAATACCACATCCCAATTATACTGATCCCAATGGCACTTCAGACCTAGCATGCCGCCGCATTCGGACAAGTGGCGGATTAGCCTGACATCATTCTTTCTAATGACATGCTTTTCCCCCTCAAACTCTACTACAGCGGTCCATGTTTTGGGAAGGTTGCTGATGTCTACCTCGATATTCTGGAACTTGCGGCTGAAGCACCAATATGTCCTCGCAGTGACGCCCTCTAAGGGTGCGCCTATCCATGGCGTAATTAGCTCTTGTAGTACCTGTGACCCAGTTAGTCCGGTAGAGCCAAGGAGAACGTAATTCTCTCCTGTGTCGTTAAGAGCAGGATTCGTGCGAATGACGGAATGATGAGAGCCGGGTCTTGAATCCGAATGCGTGCATGGTCTGGACCCTGAGCGCGATCCAGAGTGCTGACTCCCAGAGTGCTGACTCCCAGAGTGATCCGATTGGGAATTGGGCCTCGACTGCGAAGGTGATTGTGATGGTGAACTATGTTGTTGTTTCAGAAGTTGTTCTGTCTGCTGTTTTAAAGCTATACTCTGTTGCTGTAATTTGAGTTTCTTAAGTTCTTCTTGACGTGCCAATTCCTGCTGTAGCTTTAGCTGTTGTTTTACCAGCTTCTGTGCCGCTTTAGCTTCTTTTGGCAACTTCTGTTGAGATGCCTGTGGCGACTCTCGAGAGTGTGAACCATGCCGCTCCTCGTCTGCGGAGCACTCATGCTTGAATAACTTATCCCTGGTCGTTCTGATCTTGGACTTAAGTTCGTGATAATTCAATGAACTTTTGCGAGATGGTTTGGTGGTTGTTGTGTGGTTGTTCTGGGAGCCACTATTAGGCTCCTCGTTTAAAAGCGAAGTCATTGTAGTAATGGTAGGCGCTTCACCCCTGTCTGGCATGTTGAAGGAGTAGTGTCTCGATACTGAGTTGGATAGCTAAACTAAAATCTGTGCGCTTTTAGAGTTTAAATATTTGTGGTCTTCACGGTTGTAAGTGACCTCGATACTACTAAGGAACTTTCAAGAAACAATGTTTTTCCATATGCTATATTAAACTTCATATTCTGGCAGCTGACGTTCAAGCGAATATCAACGTCAGTGCTATTTGTGTATGCAATTGCAGTTCGCTAATATTTTATGCCGCAAATGGCGGAACGTCGAGAGATTATGGGATTGATATTGCTAATGACATTGTAATCATTCTTCACAGTTCTTTAAATGCTGATAAACCGCTGACGCCGTAGATGATCCTGGACTCACAAATTTGAATCGCGTGGCTATCTGCGCTTGTGTTGAGTGTCAATAGGCCTTCGCTTGTATCGTATTGCGGATTTAGCTCAGTTGGGAGAGCGCCAGACTGAAGTTAACTTCGGTCCGAAATCTGGAGGTCCTGTGTTCGATCCACAGAATTCGCATTTATTTTTTCCCCATTCCGAATCGATGTGAACTATACATAAAACTATAACGGAATAATTATATCCTAATGACGAAAGAAGCTAGGTTCATCGAGGAAATCACTAGAATTTAAAAGCTCTGATGGTTTGCTATTGCCTCCGGCTGTTACAATGCCGCGTTTTCCAGAGTATGGCCGTTGTCTAGATGATGGCAACTCCTCGATGTTCAAGCAAAATGAAATATCCATCGGGTTGTTGACATGAGGAGTCGATCTAGGAATATCATTAGTACCCTGCTGATTTTGTTGAGAGGGTGAGATGTGTTTAATGAGGAAGTTATTAGTTGCCGCTGAGCCATGGTGTTGGTACTCCCTAGACATCGGCGCAAAGCTATGAAACGTGGAAAAGCTAACGCTGCTCGCGCTTGAATGTGAAGCCGTTGTTGTAGTTACTGCCATTGTATTTTTTTTAGAAAGCTTTGCCTTTCCCTCGGAAAGTAGGGATATACTGGACTTGTTTGATAACTTGCGCTTCCGGTTTTCTATAGGACCCAAAAGTATACCTTCTGTCAACTGATGCGAAGGTTCCGGCTGTAGTGACAACTGCGGCTGTGCTTGTTCGTATGGATGGTTTTCTAGATTGAATGGGTCGTACTGGATAGACAGTAGCTCAACATCATAATCATTCAGTGGGGAAAGATGGAAAGACGGCGTGGTATCTGCCTCGAGGCTATTGTGTAAAGCAGATAGCATAGAGGTTTTCGGCAGTAGCTCTAAATCTCTAGCTGTCAATGAACTCTGCAATACGAGAGGTACTATTTTACGTTTTACGCCTTCGATGTAGGTGAGCTGCTCATCGTGCCCTTTTTGCATGCCGTTGCTACCTGAGATAACCGAGTTCCGTTCCATTCTCCGCTCCTTCTTGTTGCTTCGTTCACTAATAATTGGCTCATCATCATCAAGTTCATCGTCATCTTCAATATACTCCTTCTTCTTGCGTCCTCTTTTCATATGTTTGGGCTCCGCTGGCATCGGAATATTGCCATTACTGGCATCCGCGAGGATAGTTTCCTCTTTCGTTGCCAAAGTCTTAATTTGCTGCGGGTAATTCGATGGAGACCTGCCCCGTATGATCAAAGCGGGTGTTTGCTTCATAAGAATCGGTATGAATGTAGTATCCGCATCTTGGTCATACGTATCCAAATTGTAGTATTCACTGTTGCTGTCTCTATTTATATGGTTGCCATCGATGCAGCAACCCAAGACCAATTGCAAAACAAAATGCTTACTCTGTTGTGTCGGTTTCTTGACTGTAATCGAAGACGCAAACTGTATCCTTTCGTATCTAGCAACCTTCTTAATAGTGTCGTGGGGATACGTATAAATAATACAACCCTCATCGAAATCCTGTAATATACGATCTCTATGAAGGAAAAAATCGTGATCAAACTTCTTCATTTTGGACTCGTTCCTCACGTTGGATGCTTCGCGGATCATCTGGTGGTTCGGGAGTGGCGCAGGCACAAGCGGGTGGATTGGCGGCGCGAACTGGGGGCCCTTGTCGCGTTTCGCCGTGTGCTGCACTAGGTTGATCTGCGACTGGTCTTCAATGCATTTCGCCACGAGCTTGACGGCAAAGTATTTCACGCGCAGCCGCTGGTGGCTATGCTCCGGCCGGATTTCGTACGTACCCTGAAGAAACTGGTCTAATGACATGTGAGGCGTGTCGAACGCGCTCACCACAGTGAAGTAGTTGCGCTTGTACCCGATCCACTCATTCTCAATGAAGTCGAACCCTCTATCTATCCGCGGCCTGATTTCCAACTCCACCTTTTTCCCCGTCCGCGCATCCCGCACCACGTTATATTCCACCTTCGGCGTGAATGAAGGGCCTATCTTAAACTGCAACGTTGACCGCGGCGCGATCCGCACCTTCCGCTTGTCAAAGTAGCTACTCACAGTACCATCCTCGTTCTGAAAGGTCTGTATCTCTTGACTCTTGTCATTGTTTTCAGTCGATATAGTTCGTCTACCTTCCATTCTCTCTACCCATGTATTTTTTTGTGGTCTTAGTCATCTGTATAAGGAGAGAGGTATTTGTGTAAGAGGTTTTAAACCTCTAGATTTTTGTCCGTTATTGTGGTCTTGGAAGCCTCTCAGTTCCCCAAAGTGAGTTCGTTTGTTTCCTCACGACGAAAAACCGTTTTAGCCGCCGAGGTCACCATCGTGCGGCTGAAGAGCTTACGTTATAATCACGTGATATATCACTTTGAACGTAGTATTAATAAAGTATGCTGGAATAGCTGCTATGGTAGGCTATACGGGAAGCTACTTGTTGATTATCACTGTGGTCCGGTAGAACAATCAATTATGAGTGTATACAAATATTGTAGAGCCAATTTGGCAGCTGTAATATGGTTGTTGTCTGTTCGGAAATCTAACCCGTGCCCTCCGCGTAGTCTTCCGATACTTCTACCTGCCCGAACATCGTTGCCTTGTTCTTTTGGCCGGCTGTCTTTTCCGCGATGGTCGATGATGTAGTAGATATACCCCTGGAATGTTGCAGGTTTCACAACGTTAGCTAGAAGACTTTGTGAACCGTAGATCAATGGATTGGCGAATCAATATCGTAGCTGCGGGTATAGCCTGGGGAGAGCACTGACTCTAGCTGTATCTCGTGGCTCGATGATGCCTTAAGCGAGCTCTGAGCTTGAGTTTGCTAAATCTTTAAATACGAATGACATCACGTGCACTTCACGTGAGCGTGAAAATTTTAAGATCGGCGGCGGGCTAAGCGATGCCCTCTACTACCTTACATACTTTAAACAGCGACAGGATGGCGAAGAAGGCTATTGACTCGCGAGTGCCAGCGCTGATTCGGAATGGTGTCCAGACTAAGCAACGGTCCTTTTTTGTGATCGTGGGGGACCGCGCGCGCAACCAGCTACCTAACCTGCACTATCTGATGATGAGTGCGGACTTGAAGATGAACAAGTCGGTGCTGTGGGCGTACAAGAAGAAACTTGAAGGTTTCACATCCCACCGTAAGAAGCGGGAGGCGAAGATCAAGAAGGAGATCAAGCGTGGCACGCGTGAAGTGAACGAGCAAGATCCGTTCGAGACATTTATCTCTAACCAGAAAATCCGGTACTGCTACTACAAGGAGACGGAGAAGATCCTGGGTAACACATACGGCATGTGTATTCTGCAGGATTTTGAGGCTCTGACGCCAAATCTGCTAGCTCGGACAGTGGAGACCGTAGAGGGTGGTGGCTTGGTTGTTATCATGCTGAAGTCGATGTCCTCTCTGAAGCAGCTGTACACGATGACCATGGATATTCACTCTAGATACCGGACCGAGGCACATGGGGATGTTGTGGCACGCTTCAACGAGAGATTCATTCTCTCTTTGGGCAGCAATGAGAATTGTCTGGTCGTTGACGATGAGCTCAACGTCCTGCCGATCTCTGGCGGGAAAAATGTGACACCTCTTCCTCCACGCGAGGAAGATGAGGTGACACCCAAGCAGCAAGAGTTGAATGACCTCAAGGAATCCTTGGAAGATGTCCAGCCAGCCGGTTCGCTTGTGGCCCTTTCTAAGACTGTAAACCAGGCGCAGGCAATTTTAACCTTCATCGATGTGATATCGGAGAAGTCTCTAAACGCAACGGTGGCCCTGACTGCAGGTAGAGGTCGTGGTAAATCTGCAGCATTGGGTATTGCACTGGCAGCTGCTGTGTCTCATGGCTATTCGAATATGTTCGTGACATCTCCTTCTCCGGAAAACTTGAAGACACTTTTTGAATTCATCTTCAAGGGATTCGATGCCCTCGGTTACCAAGAACACATAGACTACGATATTATTCAGTCCACCAATCCAGCCTTCAACAAGGCCATTGTGAGAGTGGATATAAAACGTGCACACCGACAAACTATCCAGTACATCCTGCCGGGTGACTCTCACGTGTTGGGGCAGGCTGAGTTAGTTGTGATCGATGAGGCAGCTGCAATTCCTCTTCCTGTGGTTAAGAAATTGCTGGGTCCTTATTTAGTGTTCATGGCATCGACCATCAACGGGTACGAGGGTACCGGGCGTTCTCTATCGCTCAAGCTTATCCAGCAGCTACGTCAGCAATCAGGTAGTAGCGGACGTGAGGATTCTGAGACAGCAGTTGTTTCCAGAGACAACAAGAAGCACGAGGTTCAGTCTAGTGGTCGTGTTCTGCGCGAGGTGGTTCTAGATGAGCCTATTAGATACGCACCTGGAGATCCAGTTGAAAAATGGCTCAACAAGTTATTGTGCTTGGATGTGACGCTGATGAAAAACCCGCGGTTCGCCACCAAGGGTACGCCTCATCCTTCCCAATGCAATCTCTTCATTGTTAATCGGGATACACTTTTCTCATACCATCCTGTTTCGGAGAACTTTTTAGAAAAGATGATGGCCCTCTACGTGGCGTCGCACTATAAGAATTCGCCTAACGATTTGCAGCTGATGAGTGATGCGCCTGCGCACCAGCTATTTGTGCTGTTGCCTCCTATTGATCCAAAGGACCAAGGGAGAATTCCAGATCCATTGGTTGTCATTCAAGTAGCGCTAGAAGGTGAAATATCCAAAGATTCTGTGAGGAACTCTTTGTCCAGAGGGCAGAGAGCTGGTGGCGACTTGATTCCATGGCTTGTCTCGCAGCAATTCCAGGATGAGGAGTTTGCTGGTCTAAGTGGGGCGCGTATTGTAAGAATCGCCACTAATCCAGAATATGCCTCAATGGGTTATGGTTCTCGCGCTATCGAACTATTGCGTGACTACTATGAGCAAAAGTTTACCGATTTGTCTGAAGGTCTCGTCTCTAAAAGCTACAGCATTAAGCGCGTGACTGATACAGAGCTAGCGAATACGAACTTATTGAAGGATGACATTAAACTCCGCGACTCCAAAACCCTACCCCCACTGTTATTAAAGCTGTCCGAACAACCACCGCACTTCTTGCATTACCTCGGGGTTTCATATGGCCTCACCAAT